GAACACTGTAGGCCGTTTGGAGGCTGGCAACCACATTTATTTTTAAATATATTAAATATAATTAATTATATACTTACCCAGATTTATAGTTAATATACACTATAGTAACAATAATTAATATATAAAATATATAATGACCTTTACACAGCCAAAGGTTATTCCTGAATTGTGGTACCACTTCATGAATAATATATTACCTTACCATTTACCATAACTGAAAAAAAATCTCTCTTGAAACAGACAGAAATTCTTAAATGGAAAAGACTAGACAAAAATGGAAGCCTGGGGGGCCCCTTGGTGGTACGGGGGTTAAAGACAGCTCTATTAGGCTATTACCAGTCACCTCAACAAGAGTTTGATCCCTGGCCATAAGGGAGCTGACCCACATGTCACAGCAGATCTCTCCTAGCTCAACTGCTGCTCCCCTCAATAGTGTATGTTAGTATAAATCTGTCTGTTCTATTCCCCACTCTGTCTCTGGTAAGTCCTCTCATCCTTCCCCTCTCTCCTTAACCCCACACTTCTAGTCTACACCCCAGTATGCATAAATAAATAAATCTTTAAAAAAGAAAGGGAAAGCCTGTGAAACTGCATTTCTTGGGCAGTTCAATATACCAGGGTTCTCAATTTCCTGACACAACTTTTACTATATAATCATAATTACACTTCCCACCCTGAGATACACTGGTATCCTATTTTCAAGATACTATGACAGAACACTTCCCTCTACAATACATTTAAAAAACAAACAAAACTCTTTCTTAGAAGTAAAGTTGCAAGTGACATGCTAAAGATTCCACTAAAAATCTAATTAAATTAGTACAGCAAGTAGCAGACTACACAATCAATTTACAAAAATCAGTTGAGTTCATAAATGCAAGCAACGGAGTTGGTGAGGAAGAAATCAAGAAAACAATACCATATACAATTTCATCAAAAAGAAGTCATACCTAGGCGTAAAGTTAACAGAGGTAAAGGACCTGTACAGTAAGAACAATACAATATTGTTAAAATAAATAGAAGATACAAAGATTGTGCATAGATTGGAAGAATTAATCCTATTAAAATGACCATCTACCCAAAGTAAGACACAAATTAAATTCAATCCCTATCAAATTCTCAAAGACATTCTCTTCAAAGAAATATAATAAATATTACTGAAATTCATACAGAACCACAAAAAATTAAAAAGACCCTGAATAGCCAAAGCATAAAGAGTGACGGTATCACACTCCCAGACTTCACACTATACTGCAAAGCAGTAAAAATTTAAAAAGTATGATACTAGAACAAAAACAGATCAGTGGACTAGAATTGAGACCCAAGAAATATATCTATACTTATTTGGGTAGTTAATATATGACAGTGGAACAAAAGTAGACATTGGAGAAAGGAAATTCTCTTCAGTAAATAGTTTTGTTGAAGATTGGACAGCCAAATGCAAAAGAATGAAATTAGACCACTATCTCACACAGTACACAAAAATTAATGCAAAATGTATAAACAATTGGAATGTAAGTACTGAAATCAAAATATACAGAAGAAAACACCTTAAAACACTTAACGAAGTGTACCTCAGTGATGTCTTTGTGGATTCAGCAAGAGAAACAAAAGAGAATATAAATAACTGGGACTTCATCAGACTTAAAAGCTTCTGCATAGAGAAAAAAAGGTATCACTAAAGTAAAGCTAACCCTACTGAATGGGAAACAATGTTTTCACAACATCTGACATGGGGCTGATAGCCAAGATCTACAAAGAACTCATATAAATCAACAACATGAAAACAAAAAACCCAATTTAAAAAATGGGCAAAAAGCTAAACTGGTACTTCTCCAAAGAAGACATACAGATAACCAACAGGCACAGGAAAACATGCCCATCATCACTATGGTCAGGGAAATGCAACTCAAAGCCACAACAGTAGACCACGTCACACCTGTGAGAATGGCCCATATCAAAAAATCCAGCAACAGTAAGTGTTGGTGAGGATGTTGAGAAAAAGGAATCTTCGTACACTGTTGGTTCAGGGACAGGTTGAATTCCTATGGAAAACAGTATGGAGAAGTCTCAAAATATTAAGCATTGATCTACCATATGTTTCAGCATTCTCTTCTTAGGTATCTACCCAAAGAATGCAAAAACACCAATTCAAATGGCTATAACTGCAAAGTTATGGAAACAACCTAAGTGCCCAAGTAGAGATGATTAGGAAGATGTGGTTTATATACACAGTAGAATACTACTTAACTATAAACTCTTTCCATTTCTGACAACTTGGATAGAATTAGAAAGGATTACGCTAAGTGAAACAAGTTAGGAGAAGGAAAAAAATACCAATAATGGGGCCTTCCTGGTGGTGCTAGGGTTAATGCTCAGCACTATGAAGCTATCAGCAGCCACTGCACCCCAGGCCAGGAAGGTGACCCACTTGGTGCAGCAGACCTCTCTTGTCTTACCCACTGCTCCTCTCAGCAGTGTATTTCAGTCAATGTGCCTATTTAGCTCCCCACTTTATCTCTGATGAAACCTCTCACTCCACCCCACACACCTCTGGCATACACCCCAGTTCTTATAATGTATAAAAAAAAAAGCTTTAAAACAAAAATAGCAATAATGTCCCTTCTATGTGGGCTATAGGGAAACAACACAAAGGATCAGAAAAAAACAAACCATGAGATCTGACTGTAAACTGAGGGGGAGGGGAAGGTGGAGAGGAGAGCAAAATGGGAGGAGGCACAATGGACAATAGTGGAGGACTAACTGTACTTTGGTAGTGGCTGTGGTGTGGTAACACACACCTGAAGGGTGTGATCCTATACCTCTAAATCATGCACAGTGTTGTAAATCACAATTACTACACACACACACACAAAACATAACACCTTGTTCTTTCTTGATATATGGTTTCTGAAATGATTTTTAAAAAGATTTATTTATGCATACAGAACTGGGGTGCAGGTCAGAGATGCGGGGGGGTGAGAAGATTCATGAGAGACAGAGTAGGGAGCAGAACAGGCAGATGGATGAAGTACACTGCTGAGGGGAACAGCAGGAGGGTCAGGGGAGGTCTGTGGTGCCATGTGGGTCAGCTCCTTGGCCTGGATCAAATTCATGCTGCGTGGCTGCCATAGCATCATAGTGCTGCACTTTAACCCACCGCGCCACCAGGGAGGGCCCTGGACCGCTTTTTTATACACTATCTTTCATAGATTTGCAAATGAGAAGTCGTCATAAATATCAGAAGAATAATCATTTTTCCATCATTTGGAGAATTCAATTATACCTACTAACTAATTTTAAATAAACACAACAGTACTTTGAACAAATTCGCTAAAATCCTCACTCATAGCAGAGGTTATATCTGGGTAGCTTAAAGACAATAAGTTGTATTTGCTAAGTGAGTGAAATATATTTTCCTCAAATAGAAAATAGTTACTGGAAATACTGCTGGGCATAATTTGAGTGAACCTGGACTTTTTCCATGTAAATTCCTTTAAATTTAGAGAAATAATTACGGAAACTCCAATTCAAAGCAATTCATATCACTTACCCAGCCAATATTCTGAAGTGAACTGCTAAAGTAATGGTAAGAGCAACTTACAATTTCTTTCAAGGGAAAGAAAACAATTTGGCAACTTCTTTAAGTTTGAATGGAACAAGATGAGCTGCATCATCAATTACCTTTAATGTACATTTTGTCCTGCTTTTCATCCAAGAATCTGGACATGACAGACAGTAGAGGTGCCTGCTGATTTTTAACGAATATCAGGAGGCTGTGGTATTTCTAGAATAAGACGATTCTGTAACAATCCTGAAGTGAACATAAGATTCACATTTACCTTCCATATTCTTAATCAGCTTTAATCAAAATGTCACTCGAGTGAAGAACAGATTTAAAGCGAGGCTCATTCTTCATTGTATCTTTTCAGTTCATGGAAGAATCCCCGGAGTCACCGAAACTATTAAATAAGAAAAGCATTGGCGATGGGAGGCTTAAGACACCTGAGTTTTGGTCCTGTTATTAATTAGTTTTATAATCTTAGGGAAGTTTGAAAAAACTCTGAGTTTTTTCTTCTGTAAGGTGGTAAGGAGGGGGGAGGGTCTTAACCTTAGGGTTTCCTTTTCATCAGAGCTTGATACCATTAGCACCAAATACGAATTTACACCACCTCAGCGCTCCTCCTTCCTCACTTTTCTTTGAACATTTCGAGCCCCCACCCGGCTTTCTCTTACGTGGAATTCCACACTGGTTCTCTAGAGGGACTCGCATTGAACCCTTTATCTCCTGGTGTTTTTCAAAAAGGAATCACGCCTGGTTCCTCTTGGGTTACTCTGGGCTCCAGGCCGACTTTATTGAATGGAGGGCCCTGTGTGTTTGTTTTCCTTACACCTTTGTGTGTTTCTCCGGGAGTCACCGATGACTAGCGCCGCGTTAGGCGGTAATGGGGTGGGTGCCAACTGCTAGATCTTGGCTCTAGACCCGAGGGGGCGGCATGGTAGGGCCTCTCGCTTTAGGGCCCCTCTTCACTACTGTGTAAATTCGTATCGCGACCAAGCATTTCCGATTTCTTCCGAAAAGCTCAACGTGAGGTTACCACCGTGCCTCCAAGCCCAACTCAACCGCGGCGGTACTCGCACCCCGCCGAGAAGCAACCCCCAGTCCCGGAAGCCTCACTTCCTGCTCCCGGAGAGCCGGCAGTTGCTGTAGAGGTTGGAACTACCAGGACCAGGATTCCCGCGCGCATGCGCACTGCTATTGTGATGCTCCTTTCCCGGTAACTCGCCCTCTCAGGCAAACCTGAAGATAGCGGCAATTCTCCGGTGGGGGGTGGAGACGCTTTCTGCCAGATACTCCGCCCCCTTCGTGATAGGCAATGGAATCAGCCAACCGACGTGACGAAGTGGGGAAGTACTCTCCAATCAGCATCTGTGGCGGGGAGGTGGGCGTGCTCACTGGCAAGGCAGGTGGGCTAGGCTGTGCCCGGTTGCGAAGGGGGAGAATAACGTCGGGTCGGGTCAGCAGGCGCTGCAGTAGTCGCCGCAGCGGCGATGGGAGCGGTGGGGACTAGGCGGCGGCGGCGGCAGGAGGAGGAGGAGCAGGGGCTGGCACAAGAGCAGCGGCTGGGGGCGGCCAGCAACAGCAGTAACAACAGCAGCCGCCGCCGCCGCCAGTAAACGCTGTCGGTACCCGAGGGTACTACCTAGCCCGCCGGCCCTCCAAGCCGCGCTCGGGTCCCGCCGCAGTCGGCGGCGGGGGATGGGCAGGCGGCTGCGGTCCCGCCTGCTGAGGGTTGACCCCTGTCGGTTCCAGCCCTAAACTGGACTCGAGCTCTCTACCCGAAATCTCTGCGTCCGCCGGGGCCCAGGTAGGACACACCCCCCGAAAACCCCAGAGCGCTGCTTGGGGACACCCCAAGCCCGCCCTCCCCCACTCTTGACCACCTCCTCAGGCCGCACCCCTAGCCTTGTGACCGACCCTGTTGCGGTGAGGAAGGTACTGGAGACTCTTGGTGGCTGCCCACGCCCTGGGCTTATGCCAGACTCTATTACTCCACCTCGGAGACTCTGCCTCTCCAGGTGTTCCCGAAGGGTTCAGCCTCGTTTCCCCAAAGCTTTTTGTGTCTTCACTGAACTTGGAGGGTCACGAAGCTTCATTCCGTTTCGCTCTGTGGGTGACCCACATATCACTTGTATTCATGCTGCCTTTGGTATCAGAACTGAACACAGAGGATTCTCTCGATATGCTGAGCGCTTCTTCCGCCCCAGCCCTCCCCAGTATAATAGAAGGGGCCTGGCGCTCTAGATTCTGTTTGCCCGGTAGTGTTAACGATGAAGGCCACGACTTTCTGGTACTTAGTGTGCAGAAGTAAAGACCTGAGGGATTTGTTCGTGATTTGCTTTGACTCAGATGATATAGACACCCTAGTGTGCTGTGGGAGGGACAAAAGATTCCACTCATGTACTGTTAAATTAGAGTACTAAGTAATCTTTCTGGATGCCAGAACCCCACAGTGAAGTTAATTTTATTTCAGTCGTGGCTGCATCGGAGGCAAAAATGACATTGAGTTGTTCTTTGGTTTTGAATTAAAGTTGATAGGTGGCAGCAATCCCGGTATTAACTCTTCTCATCCCTAGCCTTACAGATTGTTCTTCGAACATTAAAGAAGGCTATTTGATCACAACCTGTATGTTATGTAAAGATATTTTGGTATTTAGTAGAAATTGAGTTTTCTGGTGTATATGAGGATCACATTATTATGAATGGGCATAAGTATACACACGCCCTGGAGGTTCTACTCTGTTTTGTTTCAGTGTTTGATTCTAAGCCATTATTAGCAGGTGCATTGGTTTATACACTGATTTGCCAGCATAAAGCACAAAGGTGTGTTTGCTGTTTTCTTTTGGGGGTAAGGGTGAGGAAGGGAGATGAGAGCCTGATTTTGGAGTATTGAGGGAAGTGATGCTATGTAGTGCTTTTTATATAAAGAAGTAGTAATGGTGACGAATGTTAATATGACTAACCTTGAAGAATTTGTCTTAATGCGAATTTTCCCCCAAATAATAGACCCATAGACTTGGATGATATATCGTGATCTTTCAAAATGAAAACAGACTGAAAGAAATCTTTAGAAACCTATGTTCTCTCTCTCTTTTTTTTAATCAAGGCTTTAGAAGGGATGTTTGAAACATGGCCATAAAGGAAAGTTTCTCTAACATTATTCCTTTATGATAGGCTGTTCGGAAATGCTTTTTTCTCTTTCAATTTTAGACACATACAAGAAGTTGATGCCGATAACTTCACTGGTTTAATTTGTAATATCTACTTGAAACAAATTTGATCATCAGTAGGGGGCTGACAAAGATAATATATCTTGCTCATTATCTTGTACTATGGTTAATGCATAATTTAGTGAATTCTCTATTGTACTCTATGCCTTCAGATTTTGTCTTTCCACTTCCTTTAAATACTGATTATTTTAATGCCTCAGGAAATCTTCTTGAAATTAGAACTCAGTTGCTTTAGCAAATTGAATTCGGTCATAGAGAGCTTCAAATATCTCTAAATGTAATGTTGGAAGTGAAATTTCTGTAAATTTGTTATTTTGGGCCATTTTACATCTAGAAATGCACTGAAATGTGAGAATTAGTGATATATTGTTGGTTTTCATTGTAAATAAATATTGTAGAACTATGACCATGGAATTTAAATTTAACTTTGGTTTGAGCAGGCAATACTTTATAACTTTATAAGGTAATGTATACAGATGCCCAACTTGATTGTAACTCATGAGACACTAATCCTTAGAAATAGTGAGATAGTTTATTGCTTTAAAAAAAAAAGGTAATATTTAACTTTAGGGGGAAATATTTAATAACATTATTGAGCTAGTAGGGGCAAAATAAAATAGCCTTTGAGAATGGGAAATATAGCTTCTTTCCTTGCTTTAAAAAAATTATCAGTAGTAGAAAAATTCTTTTATACTTATGTGGCATTCCTTTCAATTTGAGCATGTCATTTAGATTATTCAAGTCATATATTCATTCTTTGCTGTTTTGAAAAACATTCAAAATATACCTGGAGTTCTGTCAGCTTATTTGATAATATTTCAGGACAGCTTCAATATTTATGGAGTTATGCTGTTTTATTTCCTTGTCATCATTATTGTTATTCAGCATGTTGTAAATAATAGCGATGGTAGTGGTGGACTCAACCCCCCTCCAAATCCTTGTGTTGAAAACACTTTCACAGCTTTTGTGCTATAAATTCTCAGCATTTCAGGTTAAATAGCATACTTGTATATTTGATAAGAGCCTTTATGTCTGTATTTAAACAATTGAATAATGTAATAGTTTATTTTTACATCATTTTGTGCCTTTTTCCATCTCAGTTGTAATCCCCGTGGGCTTCCCGTCACCAAATCACGCGTGTGCTATCACCATAGTTCAGTGCACTTTCCTCCCCTCACCGTTTTTGATCCCGTTCCACCCCCATAAAATGTCTCTGTTATATAGTTGTTCATTATTATTATTATTATTTTCTCCCCTGGTCCTTTATACTCCAACTGTGAGTGAAACCATCCGGTATTTTTGCTTTTCTTTCTGGTTTATTTCACGAAGCATGATCTTTTCCAGCTCCATCCATGTTGCTGCAAAAGGCATGTGTTTATTTTTTTTGGTTGCTGAGTACTATTCCATTGCGTATTATGTACCGCATCTTTTTAATACAGTCATTTACTTTTGGGCATTTGGGTTGTTTCCACGTCTTTCCAATTTAAACAATTGAATTTTTTAAAGCTAATTTTTGAGCATACAGTACATAAAAGCACTCAAAGCTTCTGTCCTCCTTAAAATGTAGTGATCCCTGGTGGTAGGTTTACAATACAGATCAAAATTATATTATTTACATGTGTGTATCAATTTTGTACGAAAATTTCATTTTTAAACAGGTGATTTGTAAACAGACAGATTTCTTGATATATGTTATATGAGTTTAGTTTAAAAATAACCAAGTTATGGTGTCTCAGGGGTTAAGACTTAGTGCTGTCAAGCCAACACAGCCACTGTGGCCTGAGTTTGACCCCCAACAGGGAGCTGACCCACATGGCACAGCAGACCTCTTTTGTTTCACCCTCTACTCCCCTCAGCAGTGTATTTCAGTACTCCACCTGTTCTGCTCTTTGCTCTGTCTCTGCTGAGCGCCCTTACCCCCCGCACTTCTGGCCTGTGCCCCAGTTCTTGTATGTATAAATAAGTAGTAAAAATAATAAATCTTTAAAAAAGAAAAAAATAACCAAGTTAAAGAGATTTATACTATTCTTCATGATTATCACTTTATATGATACTGATACTTAAACATAAATACTTACGAACTTTTGCAAACATTTTGGATTTTTTTCTATGATTTTATTTACACTTTTGTATACAAGTTTCTTGATGTTTGGGGATGTTAATAGTTGGTGTTTTTTAAATAAAGTTCTTAAGGAATTTTATTTGACTTCAGTTAGAGAAAAGCTTCCCAAGGTAAAACCTTTCTGAGAGGCCTCCCTGGTAACACTGGGTTAAAATGCAGCACTGTGAAGCTAGTGGCAGCCACTACAATATGAGTTCAACCAGGGAGATGACGCACATGGCACGGCAAACCTCTCCTGACCCATCTGCTGCTCCACTCAGCAGTATATTTCAGTAGATCCACTTGTTCTGCTCCCCACTCTGTCTCTGGTGAATCCTCTCACACCCCACACCTCTGGCCTGTACCCCAGTTCTTGTTTGCATAAATAAATAAATCTTTAAAAAAGCCTATTTGAGAGAACCTGGTTGTCACAGTATTTTCTAAAGAATGGGTGATAGAATGGCGCCTTCTTGACTCTCTTTGTTAAGCTATCAAGATTAAACTTGTTTCACAAACTGTTTTGATTTTTTTATAGAGAATTTGCATCTTTATTGAAAATAAGAATCAGCATTTTTTCCCCAAACCAGTTTAGATATCTTAAAAATAATATCTGGCAGTTTCTCAAACAATGAAGTATATTTTCTGTTGTACACTGAAGTATCTCACAACTTTCAGCAAGAAAAAAATACTAAATTTGAGTAGTAAAGATATTACCTGATGAATTTGGGCCAGTCACTTTAAGTACTTTTTGGGGGTAGGGGGTCACCACACTTTACTCAATTAAGAGAAACATTTTTACAGACTACCTGTCTTATTTTTTCATACTTATGCTATGATTTCATAGGGGTGGGTTCTAGCAATTTAGGCTTTTTTTTCCCCATTGGTTCTCATAAAGGTTGCCCTCTGTTGATGGACCAGGCTTTTGTTTCAGTTGAAACCAATTAACTTCTTGGCTTCCTATTTTTTTTTTTTAAAGATTTATTTATTTATGCATACAGAACTGGGATACAGGCCAGAGGTGCAGGGACGATGAGAGGATTCATCAGAGACAGAGTGGGGAGCAGAGTAGGCAGATCGACAAAGTACACTGCTGAGGGGAGCAGCTGGGAGACAGGAGAGTTCTTTCTCGCCATGTGGATCACCTCCGAGGCCAGGGATCAAACTCACACTGAAAAGTCTGCATCTAGCTTGCAGTGTTGTGTCCCACCATTGCACCATCAGGGAGTGCCATTGGTTTCCTTTTTTTCTGATCATTTTCCTTCACAGATTTCAAAGTACACTCTCTGGCCTTAGAGTGCTTACTAAATATGCTCAATAAATATGTTAATTCTTATTGTAAGAACCTTGCTTTTTTTTTTCTGTACAGCATTGCCAATTGCATGCTGAGTAACATTGTAGATCTCTTTGAATTTTGCCATGGTAACAGTTGTGGGGCATTTCTTTTTGGACAATGCTCATTCCCTTGATGTCTACAAG